TTGTGTTATGCAAATTTTCCCTTAAATTTTTAAGAAGTGGAATAAGCATTATGCTGAAGGCTGAGGTGAAGTGAACCTTCTACATTACTTTTCTAAGAACTTTACTGTTTGGTCCTTTGAGCTGGCCACAGTCCACCTTGGATTGCTTTTGTGTGGAGTGAGGTGAGGTCTGCGGACCAGCTCTGACTGGTGTGAACCGAGTGTTCCCTAAGTCCTGGCATGGTGTGGATTGGGTACTCTCAGGTCGGGTGTTTGCCCCTCACAGTTCTGTGAGAGAACTTTTATTTTTCAAGATGCCGTGTTTTAAGATAAGGAAACGCAGGCTCAGGAAGGTTACATGTTCACAGTTTCCGTAGAGAAGGAGCAGCCCCAGTGGGCAGAGGAGACCAAGGTTTGTTGTGTGTGAGGCCTTCTGTCTCTGGGCCTTGCTTTCCCACCTGAAACAAGAGGGACTGGGCCTGTGCAGAGCCTCAGGGCGCTGAGACCTGCTGGCCTCTGGGCCGAATTCCAAGTGCCAGGCTTGTTCTGAGCTTGTGTACTGGGGCTGAGTTCAGAGGGGCTGTGGTCTCAGCAGAAGATTGAGACAGAGGTCTGCAAATGCTTCCTCCTTTCCTCCTCCAACCGAGAGCAACCCCTGGCTGACCCTGGGCAGGATGAGCTCCCTTGAGAGCCCTGGTTTCACTGTTTTAACCTCGAGCGGGTCCTCCACCTCACTCTTAGGACAGACAAGCTGCTGCTGCGTGACCTCGACACACAGCAGTGTGAGTTCAAGATTATCGTTGTTCTTGTTGTAGGTGAATGATTTTCCTGGGCAGATACCCTGTGGTGGGGATAGTGGAGATATCACATTGGTCTGAGATAGGGTCCATGAGCCCCGCCTGGCGCTCGACCGTCGATGGTGGCTCTATCGGGGCCAGACCGAGTGGCAGGACCGATAAGGGCTAGCCGTCCAAGGAGCCTCCTGGCCCTGCCCTGGGTTAGGATTCGGTGCTTTCACTGCTGTGACTTAGGTTCAGTACCTGGTCAGGAAACTGAGATCCCACAAGCTACAAGGCATGGCTTCCCCTCAGAAAAGACAAAGAAAATGAGGACTGGGAGATGTGGGGCACTGGCAGGGAAGTGTCTGAGGGCACACCCTGCAGTGAGCAGAGGCCAAGCCTGGGCACGATGCTGCCCAGGAGGCCATTAGTTCCCACTGCTGTTCCTGTTGGGGAGCCAGAGCCCAAAGTGGGGCCACCTACCCTCATTCCCTCTGCTGCTGGCAGCTGGCTGGACGGCCCAGGGAGTGACCATGAGCCCTGGTTTCCCTAACAGTCCAGGGAGGCAGACGGACATGGACACTGAGGTGCCAGTGGGGAGGGTGCTGTGGAATTCGGACCCCCACTCCCGCCAGTCCAGCCTGAGACATCTGAGCCTCGGGAAGGGCTGTGTCCTGGTGAGCTCCCTTCACTATTCATGGATTCCAGTGCTTGTTACAGTGAAAAGTCATGAGCCACACAGCCAGGAAATACACAATGAATGCTCTGGGGAAGGTTGCTAGCATGAAGTGGGCCATGAGAGGGTAATATAGGAATGGTGGTTTCTCCACTTTTGGGTCTTCCCCCAGCCCAGGCACAGCCAGTTCTGGGGTCATAGGCCCATCCAGTGGGGCAACAGCATGTCCAGGGAAGTCAGAGGAAGGAGACCAGAGCCAGAGTCCTGGCTTTCACATCTGTCCGCAGATTCCCAACGTCCGGCAGGGAGGCCCCATCCATACAGCTCTCCGAGCCTCACCTCCTGCTCCTGTGTCCTTGTTTCCATTCTGAGGACATTCATGGGAACTGGGGGAGAACTCAGAAACCTTTTGATGATACATAAAATCAGTATATTCTAGGGACTTCCCTGGTGGCCCAGTGGTTAAGAATCTGCCTTGCGATGCAGTGGACAGGGGCTTGATCCTGCTGTGGAGTAACTTAGCCTGTGTGCTGCACCTACAGAAGTCCAGGCACTGCACTGAAGATCCTGCATGCTGCAACTAAGACCGGACACAGTCAAACAAATAAATACAATATTTAAAAAAATGAATATATTCTAGACCGGAAAAAAGGGCTTGCAGAATCTGTAACAGAGGTGAGCTGTGGTGGTGGTTTAGTCACTAAATCGTGTCTGACTCTTGCAACCCCGTGGACTGTAGCCTGACAGGCTCTTCTGTCCATGGGATTCTCCAGGCAAGAATATTGAACTGGGTAGCCATTTCCTTCTCCAGAGGATCTTCCTGACCCAGGGATCGAACCTGGTTTCCTGCACTGCAGACAGATTATTTACCCACTGAGCTGAGGGAAGCCCCATTTGTATTATTACCCTTATTCTACACGGAACATGAGGCCCTATATAAAAGAAATGTCTCTTTCCTTATCCATAATATCTATAGCATTTTTTAGGCCATGGATATAAAAATATTTCACCAAAGAAAGATCCCATGAACAAAGGACAAACAGAGGCTTCCCTGGTGGCCCAGTGGTTAGTAATCCACTTTGCAATGGAGGGGACACCGGTTTGGTCCCTGGTCCCAGATGATGCACAGCAGCTAAGCCTGTGTACTGCGCCGACTGCATCTGCATGCTAATCCTTGAGCCACAACTCCTGAAGCCCATGTGTCCTAGAACTTGTGCTCCGCAACAAGAGAAGCCACCGCAATGAGAAGCCCACACACAACAATGAAGACCCAAATGCAGCCAAAAATATAAATAATTAAAAAAGGTTTCAAAGAGGGCAAACAACACAAAAGGAAACATAAAGGCACTTCTTCAGTTCAGTCGCTCAGTCGTGTCCGATTCTTTGTGACCCCATGAATCGCAGCACGCCAGGCCCCCCTGTCCATCACCAACTCCCAGAGTTTACTCAAACTCATGTCCATCGAGTCGGTGATGCCGTCCAGCCAACTCATCCTCTGTTGTCCCCTTCTCCTCCTGCCCCCAATCCCTCCCAGCATCAGGGTCTTTTCCAATGAGTCAACTCTTCGCATGAGGTGGCCAAAGTACTGGAGTTTCAGCTTTAGCATCAGTCCTTCCAATGAACACCCAAGACTGATCTCCTTTAGGATGGACTAGCTGGATCTCCTTGCAGTCCAAGGGACTCTCAAGAGTCCTCTCCAACACCACAGTTCAAAAACATCAATTCTTTGGCGCTCAGCCTTCTTTACAGTTCTGGGCTCCAGCAAATAAGCAGTACAGTTAGTTCTGTTCCTCAGTAATACAAAAATGCAACATGAGACATTATTTTCCTTAAAAAAATTTTTTTTTGGATAAAAAAGGTCATTGCTATGCAGTCCTGGGTAGGGCAATCTGTCTGTGGGGAACATTTGAGACATTTCAGAGATATGTACCCATTACCCTGGGAGATTCAAGCCATGAATATGTTCTGCAAAATACACATTTGTGTTACTCTCAGGGAAAGAGGTTACTTTGGCAATGAAAATGCTCATTCCTGGAACTTCCCTGGTAGTCCAGTGGTTAGGAATCTGCGGTGCAATGCAAGGCAATTGGGTTCAATTCCCGGTCAGGGAACTGAGATTCCACATGCCTTGGAGCAACAAAGCCTGCATGCAGCAACTGCTGAGGTCACCTGCCAGAATTGAAGAGAGTCTGTGCACCACAAGGGGAGATCTGCCCAAAGCAGTGAAGGTTCTGCATGCAGCAACTAACCCAACACACACAACTAGATAAGTAAAAGAAAATGCTCCTTCTTTAGCCCATTGATTCCTTTCCCATCCATCTGATGTGTTGAAAAGATTTGGAAACAGTCACAGTAGACTGTCCACCACAGTCACCTCCTGGGACCACAGGGGTGGAGTGGGTGGATTGCTTTTTTTACTTTTTAAAAACAGCTGTTTGGTGAGACAGAATTCACATATCATACATTCCACCCATTCAAATTGTGCAGTTCAGTGGGTTTTAGTATGTTCAGAGAATCATGCAGCTACCACGATTTTAGAACATTTTCATCACCCCAAAGGAACCCCCATCCCCTCAGCTCCCACCGGTGGTGTCTAAAGATTCCGATTTCACCATCTGCTCACTATTTTTTTTTTTTTCAAGTATAGCCATCCTAGTTGGTGTGATAGGGCATCTCTTTTGATTTGTTGCTGTTGTTCAGTCGCCCAGTTGTGTCGGACTCTTTGGGACCCCACGAACTGCAGGCTTCCCTGTCCCTCACTAGTTTTAATTTGCATTTCTCTAACTAGAGATGTTTGAGCATCTTTTCACGTGTTTCCAGGTTCCTTGTCTATATTCCTCAGAGAACTATCCATTCATGTCTTTTGCCCACTTTTTAGTGGGTCACTTGTATTTTTCCTGTTGAGTTGTGTTTTTAAAAAATATATTCTGGATACAATCCCATCAAATATATGACTTGCGAACATTTGCCCCCACTCCGTGGGTACTTTTAATAATTTTTATAACAAAGAAAGGCACATTTCCAGACAGACCTCGAGCCAGAAGGCTAAGCCGGGCAGCTTTCTATTTGCATTCTCGCCGGCTCCCCTAGTCGGAAGCGGGCCGCCGCAGGAATGAGCGTAAGCCCAGAGCCGGCGTCGCGCCTGCGCACACGGCAGCTTGCGCCTGCGCAGACTTCGCCGATCTGCGTACAGGGTGCTTCCGCAAGTTTGTCTCATACTGTCGCGAAGTCTCGCGAGCCTCTCGGGCCGCGATAGGTGCGGTGTTGGGTGCTGGACCGGCCCGCGGGCTCCGTGGGTCTGGCTCCGCTTGGCCCCCGCCTCCCGCCGGTCCTCCTCAGGGCGCTAGGTCCCGGGTCCTCAGTTCCCCCCCGGGCCGCTCCTCCTCAGAGCCCCACTCGCCCCACGCCCCTCGCCCCCGACCCGTCAGCCTCAGAGCTGCCTCAGCCCCGTCCACGGCGCGTCCTCCTCAGGGCGCTGGGTCCCGGGTCCCGGCCCCTCCCCCACCCGGCGTCCTCGGGGGCCCCCACCAGGCCCCGGGCCGACCCTTCCCCGGGCCCCCGGCAGGATGGGGGACAACACCAGCCCCATCAGCGTGATTCTGGTGAGCTCGGGGAGCCGGGGCAATAAGCTGCTGTTCAGGTACCCTTTCCAGAGGAGCCAGGAGCACCCGGCGTCCCAGACGAGTAAGTGGGCGCCGGGCGCCGCCTCCCTCGCTGTGAGCGGTGAAGCCGGTTTCCGTCTTGTGTCCGTACTGGCGGTGCCTTCTCATCACAGAGTGCTGGGGAAGTGTAGAAAAGTAAAAAGGAGCAGGAAAAGAATCACTCATAGTTTCAACATGTCAAATCACTGTTGCTAACGTTTCATCGGTTTCTCTAGCCTTTTACCTGGGATAAAGGTACAATGTGAATGTATTCAGCTAGGATGAAGTTACGAAGTGCAGGGACATCGGAGTTTTCTTTGGCCACTTCCCCTCAGTTCTGCTGCTCCTCCCCCGTTAACCACTTACCATTTTGAAAAGCGTTCCTCTTGAACATTGACACCAAATATATAGCCACAGAAAAATAGTTTATTACTTTGGGTTTCTTCCCCCTTCCACACACAGGATGTTCTCAGTCGCTGTTTTTTCCCGTTGAACCGTCTGTCTTGAAGCCTTTTCCTGCCTAGCAGACAGATCGCCTCCCTCTTGGTGTAGCACACAGCTGCCTGGTAGGGACATACTCTTTCCCTGCGGATGGACATTTAGGTTACTTGCGGTTTTTCACTATTGTGGATGTTCAATTTATAATTAATCTAATTAAAAAATTATTTTTAAATTTGTTAACATGGAAAAAGTTTTAAAGGCCCAGAGGGGTTTAGATTATGAAAAGATGGTTCTTTCCTCTCATTGACCCCCAGTCACCCACATCCCTTGCAGGGTCAGATGCTGTTAGCATTTACCTGTGCATCTTTCTAGAATCTTACATGTAAATGAAAGCATATACGTACATTATTTTCTAAGCACAAGTGAACATACTGTTCACACTCTTCTGCCCTATTTTCATTTTCACTTTACATCTTGGATATAGATTCAAAACTATGGTCAGAATCATAGGAAGAACTTATGGTTTATTCATCCAATCCTCTGTTGGTGGACATTTGTTTCCAGTCTTTTGCTAGCAGTGTGAATGTCTTTTATGTATGTTTTTTTATTCCGCAGAATATATGATCAATTCCCAGAAATGAAATGTTTGGATCCAGGGGTTAATAGTCATGTGTTTTTAAAAATTTATTTATTTGGAGGAAAATTGCTTTACATTGTTGTGTTGAGCCATGCATTTTTAATAGATCACAGATTTTTCTATATTTGTTCATGAGATAGGAGAAAACTTTTATGTGATAGTAGTTTTTTTTTTTTTGTGATAGTAGTTTTAATGGGCTTTTTGCCTTCTGACTGAGAGTGAGCTTGTTTTCTTGTTTTTATAGTCATTTGGATTTCCTTTTTACCTAAGAACCTACTCATAAACTTTGCTTAATTTCCTCTTGGATTGCTTAATTGTTTTTCTTTGTTGGTTTGAAGAAGCTTTTAATATATTTAGGAAAAAATAGTCCTTTGTGACAAAGCTGTACCTGCTTAGCCAGTTTGCCTTTTGAGTGTTGATTTTTATGGAGTCGAGTGTTCAGTCTCTTTTGTGGTGTCTGAGTTTCGCTCTACATAGAAAGGCCTTCTGCGCTCCAAGATTATTAACAAAAGGAGTGTCTGTGTTTTCCTGGGGAACATTTATTGTCTTTTTAAAAGATCTTCTGTATTTAAAAGATATTTAAAAGATATTCTGCTTTATAATGTTGTGTTAGTTTCTTCAGTACAACAGAGTGGATCAACTTTATGTGTATGTCCATAGCATCCCCTCCTCCTTGTGCCTCTCCCGCCCGTCTAGGTCATCACAGAGCGCTGAGCTGAGCTCCTTGTGCTGTGCAGCTGCTTCCCACTAGCCAGCTACCAGTCAGTTTGTCAATCCTACGCTCCCAATTTGTCTCACCCTCCCGTTTCCCCACTGTGACCACATGTCTATTCTCTATGTCTGTGTCTCTATTCCTGCCCTGCAAATAGGTTCATCCGTACCATTTTTCTTGATTCCACATATGTGTTAATATATGATATTTGTTTTTGTTTTTTCGGCTTTTGTTTTAATATATGATATTTGTTTTCTGTGTCTGTGAATCTTGTTTCTGTTTTGTAAATAAATTTATTTGTATTATTTCTTAGATTCTACATATAAGTGATAATCATATAATATTTTTCTTTCTCTGACTTACTTTACTTAATGTGATAATCTCTAGGTCCATTCATGTTGCTGCAAAATGGCATTCCATTGTAGGACTTCCTGGTGGCTCAGTGGTAAAGAATCTTCCTGCCAATGCAGGAGACATGGGTTTGATCCCTGGTCCAGGAAGATCTCCTGGGAAAGAAAATGGCAACTCACTCCAATATTCTTCCCTGGAGAACCCCATGGATCCTGGTATGCTATAGTCCATGGGGGTCACAAAGAGTCAGACATGACTTAGTGACTGAACAACAACAACAAAATTCCATTGTATATATGTACCATATCCTCTTGATCCATTCATTGGTTGATGGGTACTTAGGTTGCTTCCATTTCCTGGCTATTGTAAATAATGCTGCTATGAACACTGCAGTGCATCTGTCTTTTTGAATTAGAGTTTTTGTCTTTTCTGGGTATATGCCCAGGAGTGGGATTGCTGAATCAAATGGTAACTCTGTTTTTAACATTTTAAGGACCCTCCATGCTGTTCTTCATAGTGACTGCACCAGTTTACATTCTTACCCACAATGTAGGAAGATTCTCTTTTCTCTGCACCCTCTCTAACATTTATTCTTTGTAGACTTTTGGATGATGGCCATTCTGACTAGTGTAGTTGTAGTTCTGATTTGGATTTCTCTAATAATTAGAGAAATGGGCTTCCCTGATGGCTCAGTTGGTAAAGAATCCGCCTGCACTGTAGGAAACCCGGGTTCGATCCCTGGGTTGGGAAGATCCCCTGGAGAAGGAAATGGCAACCCACTCCAGTAATCTTGCCTGGGAAATCCCATGCACAGAGGAGCCTGGCGGGCTACCATCCATGGGTTTGCAAGAGTCGGACACAACTTAGTGACTGAACCACCAATCTAATAATTAGAAATGTTGAACATCTTTTCATGTGCCTGTTGGTCATCTGTATGTCTTCTTTGGAGAAATGTCTGTTTAGGTCTTCTGCCCATTTTTGATTGTGTTACTGGTTTTTTTGATATTGAGTTGTATGAGCTGTTCGTAAACTTCAGAAACAAAGCCTTGTTGGTCACATCATTTGTATCACTAAATATTTTCTCCCAGTCTGCAGGTTGTCTTTTCATTTTGTTTGTGGTTTCCTTTGCTATGCAAAAGCTTAAGAGTTTGATTAGGTTCTGTTTTTTTTTTTACTTTTTTTCCTTTGGGAGCCTGACCTAAGGAAATATTGCTACAATTTGTGTCAGAAGGCTTTCCCTATCTTCTCTTCTGGGAGTTTTATGGTGTCGTGTCTTATATTTAATTCCTTAAGCCATTCTGAGTTTACTTTCATGTATGGTGTGAGGAAGTGTTCTAATTTCATTCATTTGCATGTGGCTGTCCAGCTTTCCCAAGGTCACTTGCTGAGGAGACTGTCTCCATTGTATATTCTTGCCTTCTTTGTTGAAATTAATTGACCATAGGTGTGTGGGTTTATTTCTGGGTGCTCTGTTCTGTTCCAGTGATCCATGTGGCAGTTTTTGTGCCAGTACCACACTGTTGTGATTATTGTAGCTTTGTAGTGCTATCTGAAGTCTGGGAGGATTATTCTTCCAGCTCTGTTCTTTCTCCTCAGGATTGGTTGGCAACTCTGAGTCTCTTGTGATTCCATATAAATATTAAGATTGTTTGTTCTAGTTCTGTGAAAAATGTCATGGGTAATTTGATAGAGACTGCATTAATCTGTGTAGATTGCTTTGGGTAGTATGGCCATTTTAACAGTATTAATTCTCCTAATCCTAGAGCAGAAACCATCACTTTTAATGGTTCCACAACTTTCCCATATGTGGATGGGTCCTGTTTTCTTAGCTTTTCTCCCCTTTTGCCTTCACTCAGGTAAGCCTCGTAGCAGATACGCTGTCAACAGCACCGGAGAGCATGCCGAAGACCAGGATGGGGACCCCAGGTATGGGCTCTGCAGCTGTTCCATGGGCGCTGGCCCCCTGTCGACCCAGACATTTTCCCCCCTCAGGAGCCCTGTTCCTCTTCTCCACTTGGTGGGTGTTTCAGGAAGACTGACATGGGATTGTGGTACCCATCTCTGGCTTTCTTTGTGATTCGGTTCTGTGATCCTGCTGTGGGCTGTGTGGTTGGTGGGACAGGCTGGAGACTAGATGGGGCCATGTCCCTTCAGGATGTTTGGAGGGGACCCTGATGCTGTCCTTGGACCCTTGTCCTCAAGCTCGTGTCCAGAGGTTGAATGTGGGTGCTTGGGTGCAGCACAGCGTGTCTGGGTGGTACAGCAGGCTGAGAGCCAGTGCTGCTGTGACCTGGGCTTAGGGCCCAGAGGAAAGCAGGTCCCTTTCCTTCTGGGTATGCTCCCCCCTTCTCTCTGGGAAGTGCTCTCAGGGTGGCAGCCTTGAGAAGTGGGCACTTCTGCCTTCTTACCTTCATTTTAAAGCTTAAGAAATGGTGGTACAGTCCCAGATGAAGGAGAACAGATTGTGACCTGCCAGTCCTGCGTGAGATCATGTCCATGGGAAGGCACCTGTGGGTCCCACCCTGCGCCCTGGCCATGTGAGGCGTTAGCGCCGTCTCCCTCAGTTCTCTGACGTGGCGCCTGCCGTCGCCTGTATGCTTTCTCTTCTTTTCTGTGAGGGTGTCGGGGCCTCTGGCATGACTGCTGACTGGCTCTGAAGGGGGTGGGTTTTGGAAGCAGCAGGAAGAGGCAGGGATGTGGGGGCTGCTGGGCATCCCGTGGGTCATTCTGCTTGACATCGAGGCCTGTGGGTGTCTTGTCCTTTAAAGTGACGCCTGGGAACACCTCTTGTCTGTGAGGCACATAGTAAGGCATATTGCACTGCACACCCACTGAGTGCGTTTTGTCCCCATCCTGTGTCACAGGTGGTCCAGGGCAGGGCTGGCCACCTACCTGCCTTCCTCCAAGCTCCACGGATGTGCGGCTCAGCCCACTGAAGACTCAGAAAGAGCTCTTGGAACAGTCTGGGAGAAGGGCTGGCGAGACCTATTTGCTGCCGTGACTTTTCAGAGGCTTACAGTAGAATGACTGTGAGGATATTTTCTGGGGAATTCATTGTGCATTTAGTGTAATGAAGACAGGAAACCAGGGGACAGGAGTAAGTCATTGTGGGTCAGTCAGGATCCCAGACAGACTTGCTCCCTAGGGAGAGCTGGTCTCTGCAGATGATGCTCATTGAACGTAAGAATGCCTTTGTGGGTGATTTTAGCACATTGTAGCACCTGGTGACCCCACTCCTCGCCCGCATACCATCAGAGGTGCAGGTTAATACCCCAGGGCCTGGCTGTATTTTGTCTTACAGACCTGCCAAGCTCCTGCTCTGCCCCTGGCACACAGGAGACCCCCACCCAGCTCAGATGTCTCCCCAGAGCAATGCAGTGATGTGCCTCACACTCACTCCCTGTTTTCCTTGGTTGTCGTTCTCAGAGGGGCTTTTTCTTCTGGAACCAGTAGAGTCGGTTTGCCAGATTGAAGCTGTGTTAATAGGCCTGACGGTCCCCTCTGAGTGTGGTGGTAGCTGGCCTCACAGGAGTGCGGGTGCAGAGCTGTGCTGCCCAGAGTTGTCCTCATTGGCTAGCCATTTAAGTTGAGATGGACTGAAATCAAATAAAAGTAGAAACTGAGTTCCTCAGTTGCACTGGCCACATTTTACGTTCTCAGTGGCCACCTGTGACAAGTAGGGAGAGAAGAAGGTGGATATCGTCTGTTTTCTCTTAAGGCCTGAAGTCAAGTCTAGAAAAGATGCTGTCTTCCTGTTAGGGAGGTCAGCTGTGTAGCGGCCACAGGGTCTTGGGAATTGAGGCTGAGATACTTGGTGGCGTTGTGTGGTTCTCGTGAAGCTTTTGCCTGTGGGGCCTTGTCTGATCTCCTTGACATGGTTTGGGCAGAAAGATTGAGCACTGCTCAGGCATCTGGCGCGTGCCTGTGCTGCTGGGCTCTGATCTGGGTCCTCGGCCTTGTTCTTGCTTCTGGGAACTGACCCTCCTTCTTGCCCAGCCTGAGTTCACTCGTGAGGATTTGAGCATTCCTGGGAGGACTGTGTGGTAAGTCTTCCATGTTGGGAGAGTCTGTTCTTCTGTTCTTTCTTGTGTGGCAGGTGGTGTAGTCTTGACCTCAGCAGTTAGTGTAAGTGGTGGTACTTCTGCCAGACCTTAGCGCTGTGTTAATCATGATCTTGTAATTCTTGATGAGTTTCAGAATCAGTGTGGTCTTAATGGCTCTGGTCCCATCACAGTGAGCGAGTCCTCCAGCCGGCGAGCGACTGGCCGCAGGGTGGCCAAGGCTTCTCCACCCTCCTGTCTCAGTTCCTGCTGCCTTCTCCTTGCTTATTCTGGACGCCTGGTTTCCCTCGGTACTGGGGATGGACTGCTGGGTGCACAGACTCACTGCCTCACGAGTGCCCAGGCTTCCTGCAGCCCCTGCTCTTTCTGCACCTGGGCTTGCCTAGTACTCTGAACTTGAGTGCCCAGACAAGGTTGGCTGGCACCAGGGACCTCTGGGACTGAGTACTTTCAAATGCCCCCTCCTCCCAGCAGGTGCTGTGCCCCTGGGATGGTGTTCAGCAAGTGGAAGCAGGGTTTCTTGTCTCCCCCATCTGCCCCTCCCAAGAGGGACCCTTGGTCATCATGCCTCCATCTCTCAGAGGGGTCTGTGAGGTCTGTCCCAAGGGCTGAGTGTCACTGTGGCACTCAGGCTTGGATGCTGTCCTGTGCCCATCACACACTAAAATGCCCCCGGGGGCTTTATATGGCACTTCTCTAGGAGGCAGGAGTGCAGGGGGCCCTCCTGCCCCTGACAGGGCACCCCCAGGGTTTGGAGGTGCACAGCACACCCCCAAGAATGAGGAGGGCGGAGTTGCGCTCCCTTCCGAGCTGTCCCACCCTCTGGTTTTGGACTGGCCCGAGAACATGCCCTGTTCCCCGGTGTCTCAGAGTGGATGGTCTTGGTTTGACTTCCAGCTGCTCTGGTTCATCTTTCTAAATGTGTTTTCTTTTTTAATCTCTTAAGTTATTGCAAAAATGTTAGTTTTTATAACAATTATTTTATTGTATTAAAATATATCAGTATTTACCACTCCTTTCATCATCAAAACAAGGGAAAGGATTTTTGTAAATTTTGGAAACATCAAACAAATATTGAGAGAATTCCCTGATGGTCCAGTGGTAAGGACTTGATGCTTTCATCGCTGGGGCCCAGGTTCAATCCTTGGTTGGGGAATTAAGATCCTGCAAGCCGCATGTCACAGCCTGGAAAAAAAAACCAAGCAAATATTGACACTTTTTTTTTGAATTTGCTATTTATGACTATTAGGTCGCCTGACCCCACATCTCATGACATAGCTGTCTTTGTGCATGTTACGTTGGCAGATGCTGTATAAAGCCTGCTGCTGCTGCTAAGTCGCTTCAGTCGTGTCCGACCCTGTGTGACCTCATAGACGGCAGCCCACCAGGCTCCCCTGTCCCTGGGATTCTCCAGGCAAGAACACTGGAGTGGGTTGCCATTTCCTTCTCCAATGCATGAAAGTGAAAAGTGAAAGTGAAGTCGGTCAGTTGTGTCCGACTCTTAGCGACCCCATAGACTGCAGCCTACCAGGCTCTTCGACCCGTGGGACTTTCCAGGCAAGAGTACTGGAGTGTGGTGCCATTGCCTTCTCCTGTATAAAGCCACTCAGGTGTTTTTCTCATTATAAACCTGTAGTGTTAAGCTCTGGTGAATGGATTTCTGTGTGGGCCAGACTTGCCCAGACAAGCACAGTGGCCAGATAGCAGAGGGGTCTCCCCGAGTGCCTGCCGGCGGTTGGGGGGTGGCTTTTACTTGAAGCAGTGCCTGATTTTGTGGTTGGTTCCCTCTGCAGACCTCTGCTGTCTGGGCCCAGGTGGAGAGAGTGCTTCTCAGGTGGCCTTGGGGTTTGGAGGCTTATAGATGTGAGTGAATGAGACCACCGCTGCTTGCCTCTGAGTCTCAGGGCCCGTCCCACGGCCTGGCAGACTCAGGTTCCTGGACGGAAGGCTGAGGCCAGGGCTCAGGCCTGTCTGTGGCTCTTCATGGCAGAGCAGAGGTTTTGGAGGAGATTTTTGATATCACAGGAAAAAGTGAAGACTCTGGGCAGTGGGTGGTGTTCTCCTATCTGTTCTTGTGGTGTACTGAGTCATGGGGTGGCAGAGTAGTGGCAGGTTTACTCAGATAGGACAGGAGGCCTTGGTGCTGGGCCAGCTGCTGGAGTGGTAGTGTCTGTGAGGCTCCACCACCCTGCGTCCTCTCTTGTCTCCAGGCCCTGGCATGGCTTCCCGGGCAGAGTGAGCCACTGAGACATTTTGAAGAAAGACCTAGAATCTCCCGTGTCTGGTTGACTCACCAGAGGGCAGTGTTCCCAGGAAGGAGGCCCCACGGTGGGAACTGAGGCTGGGCTGCAGGCCCTATGTTTCCCAGAATGTCTCTGATGGTGTCCGTGCAGGAAGGGCCGACCTCAGCCCTGACTGCGAGTGGCACAGCGGCCCGCGCTGACAGACCATCTGGGTCTGGTTTGTTTGGGGGCCCCAGGTGACTGAGCATGCCTAGAGGGCCGTGTCAGTCCTGGAGGAAGCCTGGATGCCAGTGTGACCCTGCCCTGGGCCTCAGCGGTTTCCGCAGGAGTCCTGCAGCTGTCCTGGTGTTGGGTGCATGGCAGTCGCTGCCGCAGGGGCCCCAACCCTGGCCCACACCGGGCAGAGAGCCCTGCCGCGGTAAGGAGCAGGGCCCGGCCCCTCCTGGACCCTTGAGTCCCGGGGGTGTCCGGTTGCTTCGTAGCTGAGTGGAAGCAGCAGTGCGCACAGTGTGTAGCCCTCCTTCCTCTGGGGGCGAGTGGTCTCGTGGCAGGTGCCCCCCCCAGAGCGTGGCCCCTGGGGGGAGGCCCGGGGTGCTGCCGTCAGCCCCACTGCTCAGGAGGCCTGTGTCCTCAGTGGCCCCCGTGGAGCCCTCCCCACACAGCCTGTCCTCCCTCCTGGATGATGGAGTGGCTTTTCCCCGGTGGCGGGGTGAGCACAGGACTTGCTGCCCTCTGGCTCCAGGTTTGACATGGGGCGTCTGTCTGCAGAGCGGAGGCCCCGGGCCTGGGCTCGGAGACAAGGCTGCCCTGCACTACTCTCCCTGTGGTGACGCCCCGGGCTGGAGGGAAGGGGCTGTCCTGCCGGGCCCACAGCCAGCTCTCACCAGCCCTTCCTCCTCTGCGGCCTCCATCTCTGTCTGTCCCTGCATCCTCGCCGTCAGTGGATCTGTGTTTCGTGCGTCTGAAATGTTTTTTCCTGAATAAAAGCTGGAGGGTGACGTGTTCAGGGTGCGGGAGACCTGGGAGCTGCCCTGGGATGAGAGCATTTCACAGGCTCCAGTGTGTGGGTCCCCTTGGGCCTCAGTCAGCACCGAGGGGCTGGTGTCTGGGGGCTCGGGGGGCACCCCTAACCCCTGGGCCCGTGAAGGGAGTCCCCCCAGCCTCCGAGCCTTAACGAGGTTCCTCAGGGCCGTGCCAGCGCCTGCAGGCTTCCTGAGGGCAGACACCTCTCTCCTGCCTGGGCGGGGGCCGGGGTGGCAGCACGTGCCCTGCGGGACCGCTCGCGCCTTTGCCTTGTAGGTCTGGTGACTTTTGTCCCTGACCCTGGGGGCTGCTTCCGAAGGGCAGCTGTCGGGTGGAAGCTTCCCGGTAGGCGGCGCCGCCCCCCGCCAGGGCAGTGGGCCTGCTTCTGTGGCTCTCAGTTAACTCTTTTCCACTCCACTTTCTTTTTAAATTTTAAGGTTTTCAGATGTCATTCTGGCAACAATTTTGGCAACCAAGTCTGAAATGTGTGGCCAGAAGTTTGAATTGAAGATCGATAACGTGCGGTTTGTTGGGCACCCGACGCTGCTGCAGCACACGCTGGGCCAGGTACGGGCTCCTGGGCAGGTGCGGGCCCCTGGCTCCTTGGCCTTTGGGGCTGTGGAGGGCAGAGCTGTCAGGTGCTTGCCCACCTGCACCTCCTCGTAGGCCCTGAGTCCTTGCCCGGAGCTTTTGCTATTTGCATCTGGAGTCTCTCTGGACCGTGGCCTTCCCCTTTGTGTATACCATGTCTGTTTTGGGGGGAGGCCAAGAGAGGGAGGTCAGCAGTGTGTGTCAGACCCTTGAGCTTTATATAAAGCAGTGCAAGCATTTCTTCTTGCTCTTTAAGTGACATCCTACCCAATATCATTATCAGTTTAGCTCTCACTGTTGTGCTGAGCCCACTCTGTGTGTTCTCTGTGGAGACTGGATGCACTGTTGCCCAAGGGGATTTGCACACCGGAACTGCCAGTCAGTCCTCTGCATGCAGGCAGAAGCGACACCAGTGTCCCTGTGATTCTGAAGGGTTTGATGTGACACACACGTGATCCAGAAATTCTGTGAGGGCCTGGGGTGTGGTCCTCCGGTGTTCTTGTCTGGAGGAGAGCTTCTGAGACAGCAGGACACGGTGGGGACATGGCCCCTGGGGCACCCACCCTGCCCACACTGGCTCCGCCCCCCTGGTGGCATGTGGGTGGGGTGGGGGCCTTTGTCAGCCCCTCGCCATCCTGCCCGCAGAACTGGAGGCACAGGGCCGGAGACAGGCCTGACGGGTGGCCCAGGGATCCCTTTGCCCTCTGCTGGTGACGCTTGTTGGCAGCTGGGTGCTTGGGCCCTGGGCAGGCTGGGTGCCCCAGTGGCCCCTGCCGTCTCTCCTCTGGGCAGCCAGCTCACTCGAGGTGGCAGGGCAGTCTCGTCCGTTTGGGTCACAGCACTTTTCTGCTCCTTTCTCCACCATGACCATCTGTCTGCAGTGTGCACTTGCCTGTGCAGACTCTGGGTGCCTCTTAGAGGCCTTGGGCTCAGTTCTCCTCTGGTTCCAAGTACTCTGGAGCATCGTCCTGCCTGCAGTGGGATCGCTCCAAGCGCTTGTCCTGGCAGGTGGTGGCTCTCACTCAGAACTGTGCCCCTTTCACAGGTCTCCAAAACCGACCCGTCCCCAAAGAGGGAGGCTCCCACCATGATTCTTTTCAATGTGGTGTTTGCACTGAGGGTGAGTGTAAATGACTGGAGAGCAGATCAGGGAGGACGGGGGGTCACGGGGGCGGGTGGGGGAGAGGAGGTGCTGAGGAGGAGGGGTTGGGAGGGGCTGGGGAGGGGTGGAGGGGCAGTGACTCATTTCCGGTGACTGCCTCATTCACTCAACACAGCTGGCTCTGGGCACCGCACTGGCCCCTCCTGGTTCTGGAAGAGCCTAACTTCGTTCTTCCCCTCTTTATAAGTAAGGTGTGCATAAACGTATCATCTTAACCATTTTACAGTGACGTTTTGGTGGCATCTGGTAACAGTGTTGCGTGACTGTCACTGCCGCCTTATTTTCATTGTCCCAAAAGGACATCAGTTATTCTGAATGAGCTCTCCTCCCCCAGCCCCGGAACTACCAGTCTACTTTCTCTTTCTGTGGATTTACCTGTTCTGTATGTTTCATGTAAAACGGATCCTACAATATGTGACCTTTGGTGTCTAACTTCTGTCACTTAATGTAATGGTTTTGAGACTCATCCAGTTTTTCGTAATCTTTTTTTAAAAATTGAAGTGTGGTTGATGTATAATGTTTCAGGTGTACGGCAGAGTGATTGACATATACATATATTCTTTTTCAGATTCTTTTCCATTACAGATTATTATAAGATATGGAATATAGTTCCCTGTGCTGTACAGTAGGTCCTTGAGGGTTTTTTAAATAGTCTTTTAATTGAATCATGCATGTTGTAATGTATGTCAGTACTTTATCCCTTCTTATGGCTCAGTCATATTCCGTTGAATGGAGATCATACTGTTTTATCTGCTGTGAACTTTTGGGTCGTTTCCACCTTTTGGCTGTAAGAAAAATGCCATGAAGGGCATTTATGTACAAGTTTTGTGTGAACACATGTTTTCATTTCCCTTGGGTGGATACCTAGAAATGGACTTGCTGGGTCATGTGGTGACTCAGTGTTTAACCTTTTGAGAAACTGCCAGACTGTCTTCCACAGCAGCTGCACCATTTTACACCCGCACCAGCCATGTACGAGGATTCCAGTTTCTCTACATTCTCAGCAACATTTGTTATGTTCGGTTGTTTTATAATTAAGCCTAATTACTTCTTAAGGCAGTTCCTAGCACTGTCTGAAGTTTTGTTTTCACTAGTTAGAGGAAATTTCTTCTCGGTAAAGCCGTCAAAGGGCTTCCCAGGTGGCTTAGTAGTAAAGAGCCACCTGCCAGGTTCGATCCCTGTTTCAGAAAGATCCCCTAGAGGAGGAAATGGTAACCTACTCCGGTATTCTTGCTGGGAGGATCCTATAGACAGAGGAGCCTGGTGGGCTACAGTCCATGGGGTCCCAAAGAGTCGGACTCGACTGAGCACAGCACAAAGCTGTCAGAATACAAGGGATCTCAATAAGCATAAGAAGCACTCTAGGTAAGGACTGGCTGGTTTTACGAAGGAACTTTGAAATCTAGGAGACCTGTGCTCAGTTAGATGTGGCGCTGCTCCACCACCAGATTTCACCGGAGAGTCCAGTCGTTCTTTCTGGTTGGGCACACGTGTGCTGCAGGTGGCTTTCGTATAGAAGTGTCAGAGAGAGAATGACTGTATCTTGGTGACAAGGAACAGGGACTGTGCTCTGTTCCCTGCATGGTGGCAGGAGTGATTCCAGCAGGAGAGGACCTGCCACCTCAGCTGCCTTCTGAGTCTCAGAGTGTTTTTCCCACAAGGCTTTTTTGATTTCACTGAAGAGTTCAGAATCAAAATAATGCCCATTCTGAAGGGAGCTGCATTCTCAAAACTGCCCCCCTGCTGATCAGTGGAGAGCTGCCAGTTAGACACAGTGGTCTCTGCTGGTGACTGTGGGGCTGGAGGTGCTCAGAGGGGAGTGTTGCTTTCTGCTTCGTGCACTTGGGCAGCGTGTGCTCGTTCAGTGTCTTTCTATTATTTATATTGTTATATAATGCAAACATCCCCAGAGAGAATTCAGGGAAGTTAAAGACAAACCAAAACCAGACCAGTGCTGTCTACCCGTCAACTCTGATAGCCCCTGACGGGTGAGGGTGTGAGGAGCTGCTGCGGCCCCACCCTGGACGTTGCAGGCAGGCCCTCCGCTCTGGGAGCATCGGCATGTGATAGCTGAGTGTGTGACTCCCCTGGGTGTGGTAGTCAGGGAAAAAGGCAGATTTTAAAGTGTATGGGGATTTTTATAATAAGCAGGCTGGAGATAATCCTGCTGTCCAGTGGTCGGAGAACAGTTAGACAGGGTGGGGGTTCATACACTGGCGTGTTCTGTGGCCACTGCAGGTGAGAGTGGGGGTGAGGCCAGACCCTGGAGCGAGCGGGTGGGTCCCTCCCAGGTCAAAGCCGCAGGAAACGGCAGCGTAGGAGTTCAGAGCAGAGAGGCCGTGATGTGAGCAGTGGGAGGGATTGAACATAAGGTAAAGAGTGGACGGGTTTCATTTCCTCTTTTCTGTAGTCATATAAAAATGTACACTCTTTTTGCTTTGAAGTTTTCAGCATGCCCTGGGCTCGTGACAGTAGACTGATGACCCTTAGGCCCCTGTCTCAGGTCCCACGGCTGCTGCCTCTGCCCCTGGCTCCTCTGCCTGACCCTGTTGCTCGACTGAGGAGGACAGGTCTCAGAGCGCCTGTATGCTCACCCCTACATACTTCAGGAAGTGTCTCTGAGAGGGAACAGCTGTTGTACACCATACCTGACAGAACAGCTAGTGTCTTGTTCGTGGAAACGTGTCCCAGTCATCACAGCGTTTTTTCCTGTTGGCCTGTCTAAACTGGAGTGAAAACCAGAAACCAGCCCACAAAAGCGTGGGGGGTTGTGTGCCTAGCCTCTAACGCTCTCCTCCTCTCCATCTAGAACTCTCTCCTCCTTTACCCTGTGGACAGATCCACAGTCAGGCCCATTTCTGTGCAGACAGTCTCTGTGTCTCCTGCAAACTGGACATCTGCTCTGAGGGCCTGTCTGTGTTTGGTGGGAGTTCCAGGGGTGAGACAGTCTCACCGGCAATGCCCTGTGCATCATGCTGCTTCACATCATGTCTACAGGGAGGGCGTGTTTCTCAGTGCTCCACTCGGGGCCGGCACCTCCTAGGTGGTCACCTTCTTGGTGTACACCATGTTGCCGGGGCTCTCCAGACACCTGGAACCAGGCCCGGCCTTGCAGCCAGTCGGGACACCTAGGCACACTCGTACGTGTGGGCCTCGTCCAGGGGTGTGAGTGAGCGGCCCTGGGCACCCGACTTGCGGCACTGTCTTGCCCCAGCCAGTAGGTGTGTGCTGGGGGGTCAGGGAGTAACCATGTGCCCAGGTCACTCTCCTTTTACACATATTTTTCTAAAACCTAAGGCAAAACATTTTGATTTGAGGCACTTGTGTACACACTTAACCCAGACCTTCTATCCCATGACCTTATGGGGACCCTTGAGGGGCCCTCCTGGATGTGGGGAGGGCTGCAGTCTGCAGGGGGTCGCGGTGTGGACCTAGCCCTCAGCCCTTCCCTCCCCGCACAGGTGTGCTGCCATGGGTGAGTTCTGCTTGTGAATGTGGATCTGCTAGGAGCTAGAGTGTCTCCAGCTCTAGGTGATGAAGGTGTTTACTTTGTCTAGGTCAAGGTTTGGCCCAGGAGCCTGGCTGTGGACCTTTGCTGAGGGCCATGCCTGCAGATAAACAGGAGGGGAGGCCAAGTGGAGGCTCTAATCGGGGCCACCACTTGTCCCCCTCCTCCCACCTCCACCCCGAGATGACTCAGCCTCCCTGTCGGCTCCTGGGGCGCTGAGTCACGGCGGGCGGTTATCAGCTCTGGGAGCATCTTCACAGACCTCACAGCTGCCTGCCCCACCTTTGGCCTGGGCGGGTGCACAGGCCTGGCCTGGCTGTGGCCCCCGATAGGTGCCAGAATTAGCAGAGGGATGTGCGGGGGCCTGGTGCCTGCTGACCTGTTGGCCAGCTCTCAGGAAGAGTGCTTCCTCTGAGGACAGAGGTCTTCACTGCGCAGTGGGCCTAATGCTCTGCCTCACGCTCCGTCCCTGTTGTTACTTGTGTGACTGTGACTGAGCTCTCACACAGCTGGTCCCTTGCAGACTGGCGCATAGCCACTCCCTGGAGACCGTAGACACCGCGGGGGCTCTGCTCTCCCTAGGCTCACTCTGAGCACTTGACCTGTGGGCTGATGGGTGAGGGAGGGGTCCTTGTTCTTCCTCAGACAGGAGCCTGTGACCTTGGGTCCCCCTGCATGTGGTGGCGGGGTCTGGGCCTTCCATTGTGTCACTGGGCTGCCCCTGCCAGGCCTGGAGTGCATTCCTGAACATCCCCCGCCTCCCTGGACGCGCTGGCCTGGGGCCCTGAGTACGGGACCCTCTCTCACTTGTTAGAAGCGCCTGCGTGCCTGTCCCTCCCCACTGGGGACGCCACAGGGCTGTCTGTGTTGCCGTGTGGGCAGCAGCTCCATGCCCACCATGGAACGTGAGCAGACTGGCATTGCTGGGAGAGGCCCTCGAGGGGACCCAAGATGGGACACCCAGAGAGGGCTCTTTCACGGTCTCAGCGATGCTGCGTGTCCTCCTGGGTGCCCTGCAGGCCCATGCGGACCCGTCAGTGATCAGCTGTCTGCACACCCTCTCCCGCCGCATCGCCACCGTGCTACAACACGAGGAGCGCCGCTGCCAGTACCTCACGCGGGAGGCCAAGCTGATCCTGGCGCTGCAGGACGAGGTGTCCGCCATGGCTGACGGTGAGCGCATGGCAGCTTCTCCAGGCTGGGGCCCTTAGGCCTTGATATGGAAGCTGGTGGGCTCTGTGCTGGACTGAGCATGCCCTGGGTGCACAGCAAGACCCTCGAAGGTCACAGCGAGACCCAGGCTCCTGATGCTCCGGGAGTGGCTCCCCAGCCCAAAATGTCCCCCTCCCCCCAGACCCCTGCATGATGGCTCTTCCCGCAGGTCAGATACCACCCTGGTCTTGCTAGGCAGTCTCCCTGGGGTGGGGGGCATGCGGAAGGGCAGCGTCGAGCTGGAAGGAGGCCACTTCTTTGCTTTCAGCAGAATTGACAGGGAGCCCAATTGAGCTGTCAGCTGACCAGTTATTAAAAGTAATATCTGCTGATCTGCTTGAGGCTTTGGTGCACTGTCAGCATTTCAGAGCTGAGAGATGCCCACCTCTGTCACAGGCTTTGCACCTCTGTCTTCTCAGGTCAGCATCTCCATAGCAGAAGAGAAAACCAGGACTACATTTGCCAGTGAACTTGGGCTAATTTTAGCTATAAGTAAAAGTACACGTGGTGCCACTTGGAAAAGTTTGTTTTTGATGTTTGACAGTTGTCCAAATGTGTATTTATTTTCCCCAGTTATGTACTATTAATAATAATAATCCAAAAGTTTTATCTTTTAAAAACATTCTTTAGAGTTTGTGGCTTTTTCACCAGAATTTTTAAAAGTTCAGTGTAAGTACATATATTTTTTATTAGATGTTACATGAGGCCTGTACCTGCAGAGTCAGGTGGGGCCAGTAGTCAGGGGAAGTCCAGACACCGCATGCAGACAGTGGAGTGGACTAGCAGGCGACGTCCTGATGTTTGGTGTGTTAAGTGTTAGTTGCTCAGTCGTGCCTGACTCTGTGACCCCATGGACTGCAGCCCACCAGGCTCCTCTGTCCATGAGATTTTCCAGGCAAGGATGCTAGAGTGGGTTGCCATTTCCTTCTCCAGGGGATCTCCCCAACGCAGGGATCGAACCTGGGTCTCCTGCACTGCAGGCAGAGTCTTTACCGACTGAGCTACAAGGGAAACAGTCACTTAAAGTTCTTCTTAGCCTACACTTGCCATCTGGCCTGTGTGAGCTCTGTGCTATGCAGGCTCTGAGTCCCCTGTGTTGCAATTCTTGCAGCAAATGACGGGCCTCAGTCCCCATTCCATCACATCCTGCCCAAGTGCAAGCTGGCCAGGGACCTCAAGGACGCTTACGACAGGTAAGACGAGCAGCCTGCTGCCCAGGGCCTCCGCAAGGCGGGTGCCATTTCCCCACTCTGCCTGAGATGGGCGGGAGGGCGGGAAGGTGCCTGACTGGGCCGGCACCTCCAGACCTTGCTCTGACTAGAAAATGGACCTGAAAAAAGCTGTGTGTGAGCCTAGAACGCAGGGTGACGCCGACAGAGCACAGCACATACCATGTTCCAGGCCCACCTTCTTCAGGCGAGGTCATTGTGGCCCCCGCACCCAGGAGGAGACTGAGGCTCAAGGTCTAGGGCTGGGTTGGCCCTGCTCCCCACCACTAGCTCTAGGGTCTTGGGGATTTGGGACACTGAGTGTGTGGGGCAGCAGGCAGTGGAGACATGGCGTGAACCCCAGCTCAGCACCAGCTCTTACGCGTGGACAAGCAAGGCACTCTTCTTCTTTTTAAAGTGTGTCCATGGGGCTTTGACCACTGTTCCCTGGCCCTGGGTCTGCTGGACCCAGTCCTAGGTGGGGAGTGGGGGTCAGGGGTCGTCTGCCTGAGTGCTGCTGGCTGGCAGCTTCTGTTCTGCACCTGGCCAGCGGGCTCACCAGGGGCCTCTTGGGGCTGGGGGACCTAAATGTTGCTGGACGGAGGGTGCGAGGGGCACTCCCCCCTCACCTCCCCTTGCCGCCAGCTTCCCTGCCCTGCGCCAGCCTCCTCCATCCAGGAGACCGTGTTCCCTGCTGGAGGCGGGCTTGACCTGAGAGCTGTGGCCAGAGCACCCTCGGAGATGGTGGTTTGTCCACATCCTTTCCTTTTTCCATGTAAGTTTTCTTTTTCCCCATGAATTCTCTTTTTTGGCCACACGGTGGGGCTTGTGATAGCTTAATTCCCCGACCAGGGATTGAACCTGGGCCTCCTGCAGTGGAAGCGTGGAGTCCTAACCACTGGGCTGCCAGAGAATTCCCCCCTCCTTTCCTTTTAATGTTAATTTTTTTTCTGATTTCACCAATATTATGTATTTATTATAGATATATGGAAGTATAAAGAAATTAAAACCATCTGTAATCCCATGTGCAGTGATACTCACTATGATGTTTTGGTAATTGCCCTTTTTTATTTAGCTTAAGCCTTTGAGGAGGTCCCCTGTCTGTCAGGTCTGAAAGTCAGAGCACTGAGCTGCTTTCCCCTGAGACCCTCGCCAGGTCCTGTGCCGGTGGCTCCATGTTGTGTGCCCATCACGGCACGGAGCACGGGAGGGTGAGCCCGGCGCATACCGCCTGTGCGGCTGCCCTGTATCTCTCACCTCCGTGTGCAACTCAGACATCTGTCTGTTGGTAAATAAGGACTGCTTTCTCTGCTGCCCAGCTGCCTGCCGCCTCCCTGGGGCTTCATGGGCTCCAGCTTTTGCTGCTGAAGGACATGCAGCTTAGCCGTGTGTGTGTTTTTTGCGGGTGGCCGTGCATCCCTGAGAGAAATGCCTAAGTGGCTCCTCAGCCAGGTGTTTATGTCATGGAGGTACCCCTCTGTGGCAGCGTCTGCCCACCTGTCAGCAGTAGCTGAAATTGGCACACAGGGTCTTGTGAGCTTTTGGGTTCTGCCGACCACGATGGATGGCAGATGGTGTCCCAGCTCAGCCGATATGAACGCAGGTGTGCATGTCTTCACCTGGGCGCACCCCTGTTCCCTTCTCTGTGAATGCTCTGCTCTGGCCCTGTTTCCTCCTGGGGGCACAGGTGCCTTTAGGTGGGAGGGAGAGCTGTCCTCGAGGATGCACGGTATGGCTGCTGTTTCCATGTCTTTATTTCGATGAGCTCTGGGTATCAGAGGACATCAGAGCAGCGTCCCTTGAAACTGCACGGTAGATCCAGGCCAGTGTGGGCTTATAGTAAAAAGCAATCCAGAGCCAGACTGTGTGTTTCTGAGCAAACAATGAGCTGTGAATTCTTAGGCTTGAACTGTGTTGGGATGCTGAAGGGAACCGGGCCCTCGAGAGTTGACTGCTGCTTTTGTGGTCTGCTGGACCAGCCGAGCCCGGAGCTGGGGCAGCCCGGCGCCCTCTAGTGGCAGCAGTTCCAAGGACAGGAGTCAGCACTTCAGCAAGAGCAGCTCCTGGGTCCCCCATTCAGCCCTTTGCCTCCTTCCTGAACCCAGGCGACCCCCACCTTGTTTCCAGGCCCCACTCTTGGGTCCTGGGTCCCACCCAGTGCTTCTCCCCTTGGAATCCCAGGCCATCCGTGTCCTCCCCTGTCCCCTGCCTGTTGACAACAGCAGCTCTGACCCAGCGGGAACGCTGTAAGGGTCTGGACTGGCCCACCCTGCTCCTGCAGGGTGGGCTGCACCGAGGGGCAGGAAGGCAGGTAGTAGGGAGCATGCAGACCTTTCTTGGTGGAAGCTCACCGGCAGGCCCTGGGAAGGGCTTTCTCAGAGCAGAAGCAAGAGGCCTGAAGCTGAGGTCTGGTTGAGGTTCGAGGCTGGGCCGGGACTTTGCACAGGGGCGTTCTGGATCGAGTGCTCTGACTGCAGTCCAGCATATGGTGTGGCCTGGAGGCCCTGTGCGCCGGGACCTCTGCTTCTGTGAGCCGCTGCTGCCGTGTGACTCCGCGGAGCGCACCGCTGCTTGCCCAGCACCTGTGTGTCCCCGTGTAGCTTGGTGACTTCAGCGACAGCATCCCCCGCTGTTGGGGATGGCTCCTGGCCGTCTGTGCTCAGCATGTGGATCCCGTGGTGGGTCTTGAAGAAGTGTTTGCCAAGCAGTTCCTGGCCTATGGGCAGTGCTGGGGGTGCTGGGGACTCTGCCCTGCTCATCGCTGCCTGTCCAGGGCAGGGCTGGGCCCACTGACTTGCCCACGAATATCCTAGGAATTTCAGTCCTTTCCACAAAGTGCACCTGTGTTGGAAAGTTCAGTGTTGGCTTTTAGGAGCCCACCTAGTCCTCTTGGGACATGTGCAGTGTTATCCCTCTGTGTGTTGTGTTTGGGACCAGAGGGTGCAGGGCTGGCTTCAGAGGTCTCTGGTCTGGGCAGGGAGAAGGGTGACTGGTGCAAGCCCACAGGAGGACGTTAGGTTAGGGACTGAAATTCGGATGCTGAGATGTGAGGTGGGGGATGAGCTTGCATCCTGTGGCATCTGGGATGTGAAAGATAAGAGCTTGTGGAAAGGCCAGTGTGATCTCCTTGGGTCTCGGGCTCTGTGGGGGCATCTATCTCATGTCGCAGGCGGGGCGGGGTCTCAGAGCTGCAGTCCAGTGTGTGGTGTGGCCTTATCCATGTGAGGGGCCAGATAAGCCTCACACGGGCACAGTGTTTTCCTCAGTGTCCCCACCAAACCGTTAGCTGCCCTGAGGATACAAGGACGAGCTGCTCAGGACCCTTTTCGGGCCCAGCCTCTACCCTGCCAGTGCTCAGTCACACGGTCCTGTCCAACTCTTTGTGACCCCATCGACTGGGACCCCAGGATGCTGCACAGGCCTCGACGGCTTGTCTGCCTGGTACCGGATTGGCACCTCTGCTGATCCCCATGAGGCCCCAGGCCACATCTACCCCTGCCGCCTCCTCCACATCCCTTTTCTTACCACTCTCTCCGGCTTCTTGTGTTCACATAGTTTGTTTACAATTCCCCGTGTCTTTCCTGGCACGGCTGAGTGGGAGCCCCCAAATGCAGACTGTAAATTGTGCACCAGGAGCCTGCACCAGTGCCTGGGGCCGCCTCCTGCGCCTGGTGACTTAGCAGCTTGCACACGGCATCGCCGGCTCCTGGAGGAGCCCACTTGGCTACATTTGAAAAGAGAATCTCGGTGTTTCCTGTGACTCTGGTGTTGCAGCAGCTACCTTGTACCATGTCCTAGAGGGGAGCTCAGAGATAGGAAGACCTTGGTTCTGCGTCCACTGCCTTTCTGAGCAGGTGTGACGTGAACTCAGCCACAGCTTGTGGCCCCCCTGCAGCTGGGGGCCTGAGACCTTCTCTCATCCCTCAAGGAGGACGGCTGGGGACAGGGAAGCCCCGGGAGAGGGCCCTGTCCTCCAGGTGCCCCGGCCGCAGCACAGGAGGGAGCAACGCTGGGGCTGGCAGGAGTCCTGGGGGCAGCTGAGGTCACAGGCGTGCTCCGTGTTCTTCCCGTGGTTCCTCTCCCTGGTGCCCGTTCCCTACTGGAGACAACAAGGATTGATTTTTACATTTGAAACTGTTGCCTGTGGATTCCGCACAGCTCTCTGGGCAGGGCTGTGGGGACTGTAAGAACAGCCTGTGGATGCGGGGCAGGGGCCACGGGCTGCCTCTAGCACCCAGATCCCTGAGTCTGTGCCTGAGAGCCCCAAGGCCTGAGTGCCAGCAGCGCAGGCTGGAGTGTGGCAGGAAGGGGGCCGGGCAGTGGGCACAGGCCCCACGCCCTCCTCTGCTCTAGCAGTTGCTCCTTCTCTGCCCAGCACCTGGGCCGGGTCAGGGCCTCAGCTTTGTTCCTGAGAGGTGGCGGCCCAGAGGGTCTCATTCTCAGGCCTTCTCCTCCCTCCAGGCGGGAAGTGCTCTCAGTGTCCCCGCCTGTTTCTGGCCGTGCAGTAAGCACCGCACCTTGTGAATTCTGGTTGCAAAACAGCATTGACCGTGGACAGGACAGATGGGAACTGGGAGCCGCCCGCAGGGCTGGGGCCAGGGCCGGCTTGGGGCTCACCCCACTGAGAAGGTGGGCCTTGAGTTAAGATCTGTAGTCAGGGAGGAGCCCTGGTGCCCGAGGGAGAGCGTGTGGCCAGGGCAAGTCCACGAGCTTGGAGAGCAGCAGGGCGGCCTGTCCCGCTGGACTCTCCAGTGGGAGGACACAGGGTCGGCAAGAGTGGGCGGGCCCCACAGGGCTCTGGCACTTTGGGGTCTTAGCTGGGACTGCTGAGGTGGGACCCCTGGGGGTCTGCGTAGGCAGGGCGGACTGAGGGGGCCATAGTGGAGCAGGTGTGCACTTTGTCCCTGTGTGGAGCAGGTAGGACTGACAGGCGGTCTGAGGTGGATGTGAGACACGAGAGTCAGACACAGAGTTGCCTTGTTTGGCCTGAGCAAGGTTGGAGAGACAGGTGCCAAAGGCCCGAGTGGGGGCTGGCGTGGCTGCTGGCTGTGGAGCTCCTGCAGGGCTGCGGCATCTGCAGGGGCGGGCTCCTCCCTCAGGACATCTGGGGGCCAGCACCGCCACCCTTCCCTCCCCCTCCCCTCCACTGCTCCCCCTTCCTCATCCGCTCATCTCTCCCTTTTGGTGATGGGCCCTGCCCTGCCCAGCCGCCCACCATGTGCAGAGGAAGCCCTGGGACGCCCAGGTGCATTGAGCCTCCAGGGCAGAGATCTGAGAGACTTCCCTGATCCCTTGCCTCTGGTTGGACTGCAGATTCCAAGGCTGGCCAGAAAGGCAACTTTTGTGTGTGTTCCTAATAACATCATTTTCTTCTCTTAACCCTACTGAGGTATGGGGTAGGATGCTTTCTTGTCCGGGAAGCCTCCTTGCAGTGTACTTGTGGGCCGGGTGGAGGTGCACTCAGGTGGGTGTGCAAGGTGTGGTCGCGTGTGTGAGGCTGGGGGCCCTCTCTCTGCAGCTTGTGCACATCTGGCGTGGTGCGGCTCCATGTCAACAGCTGGCTGGAGGTGAGCTTCTGCCTGCCCCACAAGATCCACTATGCGGCCAGCAGCCTCATCCCGCCAGAGGCCATCGAGCGCAGCCTGAAGGCCATCCGGTGAGTGCCAGCCCCACGCCCGCCGGCCCTTCTCTCCTGTGGGTCCTATTCCTGCCACAGAAACTGGCGGGTGGGACTCTGCTCTTTGTAAACACATGTTTTTGTGTCCAGTTTTGTCCAGGAGTGACCACCATCCCCAGCTCACCCCCAGAGCCTCTCGGCACCACCTGGCCAAGGGGGCTTTGTGCTGCAGCCCCAGCCTGGGGCCTGGGCAGGGCTGTGGGCCACACCTCACAGCCAGCAGCTGGCCTGACCCTCAGAGGGCTGTGTCTTTACCGTGTTACTCCCGGGGTCTCTGCTTGAACCAGAACTTGTGGGATCTGTCTGTCCATTTCACTGATTTCCTGCAAGGAAACCACAGAGCCCAGTCGTCTGCCTTCCCCTCCCCCACCAAGTTCTCTGTCTCCTTAAATGTCTTTTAACCAGAAAAAGAGATCTGGGCATGGAACAGCAGATGTTTCGATGACAGAAAGCAGAGCACTGTCTTCCTCCCTCACCCAGGCCCCCACCTGCCCGTGCCCTTCCTCCTGGGCTTCCTTCCCAGCGTTGTGTCTGGTAGTTCTGTTCATAGTCTGAGGTGGGGATTTCGCTTTTCCCGTGTGTTGTGTGCTGTGCTTAGTCACTCAGTCGTGTCCGATTCTTTGCGACCCCACGGACTGTCGCCCACCAGGCTCCCCTGTCCATGGGATTCTCCAGGCAAGAATACTAGAGTTGGTTGCCATGCCCTTCTCCAGGGGATCTTCCCAACCCAGGGATCAAACTCGGGTCTCCCGCATTGCAGATGGATTTGTTACCATCTGAGCCACCAGGAAAGCCCTATTTGGGACTGTTTCCTTGGGAAGGGTTGACTCATTTTTCAGTCAGCCAGTGTTTGCAGGCAGTCCCAGAAGTGGGATGGAGCCGGGTCATCAGGGCTCCTGCAGTTCTTTCTGCTGGCAGCAGTGATCCTGGCAGGTTTTTAAAGGCCTCAGGGCACAACCCTGTCTTCCAGTTCCTCCCGCGGCCTCTTCTCTCCAGGTGCCCACCCCGAGCCCGGGGCTGCCCGTCCCGCGTCCGGGGCTGCCCGTCCCGCTGACTGTTTCTCTGCCCTGCAGCCCGTACCACGCCCTGCTGCTGCTCAGTGATGAGAAGTCCCTGCTGGGCGAGCTCCCCCTTGACTGCTCCCCGGCCCTGGTGCGCGTGATCAAGACCACGTCCGCTGTGAAGAACCTGCAGCAGCTGGCCCAGGATGCAGACCTGGCTTTGCTGCAGGTACCTCTGGGGGCCTGGGGAGATACCCTAGGTGGGCAGGATGGGCAGTGGGGGGCGGCTGGACGTGTCACAGGAGGCACCTCAAGCTGTCTCCCGAGGGCCATTAGTCCAGCTGATAGCCGCTGCACGGCCTGCCACAGTGATGGATCTGGAGTCAGACCGGCCTCTGGGCTGTAGGCCTGACTTCCTTCTGAGTGTCTGTATTGTGGTGGGGGTGCTGGGCTGTGGCAGAGAGGAGTGAGGCCTTCATGGTGCCGGGTGACCAGACTTGGCCCCTGTGGGAGCCGTGCAGAGCAGGACCACACCCTGCGGCATGCGGGCCTGTGCTCTGTACGAGGTGCCATCTCCCTGCTGAGTCATATGCTTGGGGGCTGCCCTTTCTGATCAGATGGCAGCCCCTCCTCTTTGGCTGTAGATCTGGTGAAACAGTGGACAGGGCTGAGAGAGGAAAAGCATAGGAAGAAGCTGGAGGCTGGGGCAGGGGGGGCTCCAGCGACAGCCTGAGGGGGACCCTGGGTCTGGAATGGGGCAGCATGTGGCCACCAGGGGGCAGCGGAGCCCGGGCCAGGGGCCAGGGCTCCTGCGGAAGCTGGGACAGAGCTTTCTCAGGGCCCTGTGAGGCACCTCCAGGGGGCCTGCGATCTTTGCTCCTCAGCACATTCATTGTTGTTGTTCGGTCGCTAAGTCATGTCCAACTCTTAGCAACCCCGTGGATGGCAACACGCCTTTGTCCTCCACTATCTCCCGGAGTTTGCTCAAATTCATGGCCATCAAGTCAATGATGCCATCCAACCATCTCATCTTCTGTCGTCCCCTTCTCCTTTTGCCTTCAATTTTTCCAGCATCAGCATCTTTTCCAATGAGTTGGCTCTTCGCATCACTTGGTCCAAGTATTGGAGCTTCAGCATCAGTCCTTCCAATGAACATTCAGGGTTGATTTTCTTTAGGATTGACTGGTTTGATCTCCTTGCAGTCCAAGGGACTCTCAAGAGTCTTCTCCAGCACCACAGTTCAAAAGCATCAGTTCTTTGGTGCTCAGCCTTTATGGCCCAATTCTCACATCTGCACACGACTACTGGAAAAACCGTAACTTTGACTATATGGACCTTTGTTGGCAAAGTGATGCCTCTGCTTTTTAATATGCTGTCTAGGTTTGTCATAGCTTTCCTTTCAAGGAGCAAATGTCTTTTAATTTATGGCTGCAGTCATCGTCCAGAGTGATTTTCTAGCCTGGGAAAATAAAATCTGTACTTTTCCCACATTTTCCCCATCTGTTTGCTATGAAATGATAGGACTGGATGCCATGATCTTAGTTTTTTTAATGTTGAGTTTTAAGCCAGCTTTTTCCACTTTCCTCTCACCCTCATCAAGAGGCTCTTTAGTTCCTCTTGGCTTTCTGCCATTAGGGTGGTGGTATCTGCATATCTCAGGTTATTGATTTTTCTCCCACAGTCTTGATTCCAGCTTGTCCTTCATCCAGCCTGGCATTTTGCATGATGTACTCTAGACATCAATAAATAAGCAGGGTGACAATATACAGCCTTGATGTACTCCTTTCCCAGTTTTGAACCAGTCCCTTGTTCCATGTCTGACTCTAACCATTGCTTCTTGACCTAATCTTTAAGAATTCCCATCTCTTTAAGAATTTTCCATGGAGATGGGAACATTAGCATAGTAGGGGAACTTGTTCACCAGGCCTGACTCTCATGCCATTTTTCCCCCAAAGCAGCCTTTTGGGATTCTGTTGTCTAGAATCCTTCCCCCGTCTTTACCCCATGACCTTTGTCCACCCCATGTATGAGTGTTTATTGACCTGTGCCTGGTGTCTCACATGGGGTCCTGGACTGCCTTCCTAGCACCCAGGAGACACAAGCCTCGGAGGCGCTGGCCGCGGTGTGTGCAGTGCTGCGCGGCGTCCTGACCGGTACTGCTGAGGGCAGATGTTGTGTGTGTGTAGCTCTGAGGGGCCCTCTCTGCTCCTGCGGCTGCCCGACAGGGGCCTGTGTGGACGTGCCTCCCCCTGGCCACCGTTGCCCTACACAGAGCTCTGATGATGTCCCTTCTGTCTCTCCCTGGCCGTGGCCTTGCCATGGGGCCCCTTGCTGTCCACTTCCTTGCCCCTCTACACTGAACCTGGTGCAGATCGGGGTTTACCGCTGGTGTGGTCACGCAGGGCCCAGCCCCAGGGGTGGACTGTGCTGGCCGCTGGCACTGCTGCTTCCTTCAGCAAGCGGCCCCGCGGGGGCCCTTGGTGGGAGGCTGGCGAGCCCGGCTGGAGCCCCTGCACGGATGTCAGAGGATGTCAGCCTCAGGTGTGAGTGTCATCAGGTGATTCGAAGGTTTTTGTCATGCTGAAACTAATATATTCTTTCTTACAAAAGTTCAAATATCACACAAATTATACACACAGAGTAAGTGTCCACAATCCCATATCTCAGCAGTAACCACAGTAGATTCCTCCAACTCTTCTTTATACACGTTAACACATTATCTTTGAATAACAAAATTAGGATTATACTTACATTACTTGTGATGAATGAACAGTGCCCTCCTAGACCTCTGCGTCCTAATGTGAGTGGGACCTTCCTTATGTGGGACTTTGCAGATGGAATTAACGCTCTTTAGATGGGGCAATAATCCTGGATGATCTGGGTGGGCCCTCCTGAAAGGGAGGCAGGTGGAGAGGCTTTGACTACACAAGAGGAGGCGGGAGGTGACCTGCAGAAGAGGTGACCGCGGAGGCCAAGGTGGGAGGCATGGCCTCACCTCACCTCACGCCAGGAACAGCAGCTTGTATCTTGGAGGCAAAGGTCAGTGTCCCTGCCAACAGCCTGACTCCAGCCCAGTGCCCCCAATTTCAGGTTTCTAGCCTCGAGTGGGCGCTCTGGCTGCAGGGAGAGGGGATGTGGACCCGCTGGGTGAAGTTGGTGGCAGAGACGGAGGGGAAGTGAGCCTGTTTCCTTTAAAGCCACTGTCACTGGGACTTGGGGTGAGAGGAAGGGTCAGCAGTGGGACTGAAACATCCTTTGTGTTTGAGTTGGGGTCACTGGAGGCCGTGTTTGCTGAGATGAGGTGGGGGTGTTTTGGCGCTGTGCCCACAGGCACCTGGCTGTGGTGGTCAGGGTGAGCACTGCCCAGTGCCGTGGTCTCACCCTGGCCCTCCCTCCTGGTGCTGTGGTCTGTCTGTGGGCCATCCTGATGTCTTGAGAGCCCAGGGCAGCAGGACAGAGGGAGGTTCTCCAGGGATGAGTGAGGGGTGTGGGTGGGTGCAGCGACCCCTTATCCACTGTCCTGGTGGGCTAGGGGCCGGCCTCTGTCAGGAGGAGCAGCCAAGATCCTCGCGCAGCTGTGTTGACCTCGTCCTGGCTGCCCCAGGCGTCTGTGCCCGTGCCAGCCAGGACAGCTCAGGGACCGGTGGTGGAAGGGTCGGCCTCCCAGCACTGTCCTCCGCCCCCTCCCTGCAGGTTTTCCAGCTTGCAGCCCACCTGGTGTACTGGGGCAAGGCCATCGTCATCTACCCGCTGTGCGAGAACAATGTCTACATGCTGTCTCCCAACGCCAGCGTGTGTCTGTGAGTCCCTCTGGCTGCCAGGGCCCCCAGGTGGTGCTTCCAGCTCAGCCAGGACTGTGTCCCAGTTCTGGCCTGGTCCCGCTCCTCCAGCGCCACCCAGGCCTGTGCTGCTCTGCACTTGCAGCCTCTGGGAAAGGTCTGCGCCTGCCCACACCTGCTGGCAGTGGGCCCCACACAGGGCGCCTGCTGGGAGGTTAGGAGCCTGGGTCTTGACTTGGAGGCTCACAGGGGCTGTGGTGTGGGGAAGGCATCTGGGCTCTGTCCTCACTTCACCCTTCTGGCCCCCTCACTGCACTGGGCCCCCTCCTGCCCAGCGCGGGCTCGAGGCGAGGATGCAGATGCCTGACCGAGGGGAGGCCTCTCGAGCTCAGGGATCCTCACCCCATCCCCAGGTATTCCCCGCTCGCCGAGCAGTTCTCACGCCAATTTCCATCTCACGACCTGCCATCTGTCCTTGCAAAGTTCTCCTTGCCTGTCTCCTTGTCAGAATTCAGGAACCCCCTGGCCCCCCCTGTGCAGGAGGTGAGTCTTGGGAGCTGGGGGACCCCAGGGACTAGCCACTTGGCTTTGGTCCCCGATTGATCCCAGGCCCACAGAGTTGCTGCGCCCGGAGCCTGGGTTGGGGGCGGTGCTTGCGGTGTAGGTGGTACCTGCCCCGCCAGGAGCCAACTGCCTGGCTAGGCTGCCTGCTGACACTTGGGCAGTGCCAGTCCCTCTGCGCACAGAGCCCTGTCTGCCCATGGCAGGCAGTTCTCAGGGTCACGGTGGAGCTAAGAGGTCAGTGGGCAGGAGATTGTGACCACTCCTAGGACGACAGAGCCACCTGGTGTCCCTTCTGGACCTGGTGGTCCTAGAATCGGAACACAGGGTTTGTTTTACTGAGCCTGGGCCCTGCCCTCCCACTCCCTCTCCTGCCTGCCAGGGTCCCGGAGACCACGGGGTCTGTGGCTATAAGTCTGAGCTCACAGACCCCCAGAATTTTCATGTCTGGGGCCTGGACAGGACGGGCCTGGGTCTGGGTCAGGGTAGTGAGGGGCTGGCAGGGGTGTGGGCATGGCGTGGTGGCCACCAGGGAGGGGCGAGGCGTGGGGAACGAGCCAGCGAGTCGTGTGTTTGCAGCAGGACTGAGGGCGCCTGGGTCCCAGAGCCAGGCCTCGCCCCGCCCCCACTCCAGCCTGTGCCCTGGGGCCCGGGTGAGAGCCAGGTGGGATGGACGTCGGAGATGGGCTGGTGTTTCCAAGGCTTTGTCTTCAAAGTGAAGTGTTTGCTGTAACAAGTGCCGGGGCTGGTAGGCGAAACCAGTCCTTAAAAGCAGCCCTTTCCTCCTGAAGTTGTGAGTGCAGAGAAGGGACCGTGTCAGTCACCATCTGGTCCTCCCGGGGTGGGGTGTGGTCTGCTCCAACCCCAGGCTGGAGGTTGGTCTGTTGGTCCCTTCACTTAGATGCTGAGCATGACTGTTCTAAATGCCGTCGTTCACGGCAACATTGGTTTCCAGGAACAGTGCCAGGTTGTGCCAGCTGAATAGAAGGCACACTGTGTGTGCATCCTCCCCCTCCCCAGTGCAGACTTCCCAGTGGTCCGGATGGCCGGTGGCTTTTCTTAGCTTGAGGGGAGCTGGTTCTGATTCTGCTGGGTCTCTGGTGAGGCTGCCTGCCTCCCTGACTCCCGCTTCAGGCCCCGAATGTGTGTAGGTGCTGATGAGGTCTCGTTAAGTATTTTACAGTCCTTTTCCATTTTCCTTGCTGTGACTGGGTCACACATGCTCACGGTACACCTGTGTGTCCATGCCTGCCCACCGCTCCCACCCCAGCAACAGGAAGGTGGCATGTGGGTCTGAGGACGTGGATGCCCCCACACGGGGGTCCCTGTCCCCGGCAGGCTTTCCAGTCAACCCAGGGGAGGACTTTCTGCTCTCAGGGTGCAGGCCATGGGCAGGGTCCCCACAGAGCCCACGGGCTGGGAGAGGTGGCACAGCATGGTCCTGTCAGCTCTGGGCAGAAAGGCCTGTGGGCAGCTGGGCACGTGGCTGAGTGAGGGCCGCTGCGGTCCCACCGGGCTCCCCCTCTGACTTCTGGGCGCCCCACCTGTAGACGCAGCTCGTCCAGATGGTGGTGTGGCTGCTGCAGCGCCGGCTCCTTGTGCAGCTGCACACCTACGTCTGCCTGATGGCTGCGCCCAGCGAGGACGAGCCCCGCCCCCGTGAGGACGACGCGCCCCTGGCCGCCAGGGTGGGCGGCCGCAGCCTCAGCACGCCCAACGCCCTCAGCTTTGGATCCCCAAGTAGGACTTCCTGCCCCGGGCATCCGTCTGGGGAGGGAGGGGGGTGAGCACCTGGGCGCCCTTGGGAGAGGCGGGCGGCCGGGAGGCCCGACTTGGGCACCTGTGATTGACCATGACACCATCAAAGGGCTGCACTCGAACCCCTGCTCACACCACCCTCTGGGCAGCTGTGTCCCTGCGTGGATGTCACTTGCCCCGCTGGGCAGCTCTGCCTCGGGGGACAGGAGGTCCTCCCTTGCTTCCCTGAGGGCGGGGCTCTGCCTTGCTGAGTCGGAGCAGCCTGGCCTGGTCGGGTTGGAGCAGACCACACCCCATCCCTGGAGGACCGTTGAAACCTGCAGCCCCAGGGCCTGTGTGGAGATGGTGACTGACATGGTCCCTTCTCTGCAGAGCCATTCGGCCATAGTGTCCCCCTAAGGCAGCAGCCCTGAGCCCAGGTCCCTGGCTTGGGGATGACTGGCTGGCACCTTCTCAGGCTCAGTGCTGCCCCCAGCCTGCCCAGGGCCCCGTTAGTGGGAGGGGCTGGATGACCCTGGGGTGTGGGGCAGCTCCCTGAGGGCGTGGCGGTGAGCTCCCAGATGGGTGTGGGTGACTGCAGGGCCGGGGCCGCCGCTCCCTGACTGGTGCCGGTTCTCAGCCAGCAGCGACGACATGACCCTCACTAGCCCCAGCATGGACAACTCCAGCGCTGAGCTGCTCCCCAGCGGGGACTCGCCACTGAACAGGAGGATGACGGAGAGCCTGCTGGCCAGCCTGTCCGAGCACGAGCGGGCCGCCATCCTCAGCGTGCCCGCGGCCCAGAACCCGGAGGACCTCCGCATGTTTGCCAGGTGGGGCGGGGCCCCGTGTGGAGAGAGACGGGCAGCGGACCGCAGGACTGCTGCCTGCATGTGGGGCGACTCCTGGACCTCCTTCTGAGGCTGCTTGCCATGTTATCCTTGTAGGGCTGGGCAGGGATGGTCCCAGGATGCTTGGCCTGGGGGCAGGGTGGGGCCTGAGGTCTGCACATCATGGGTGACATAGACTCGTCACCGCCAGCCCAGACCTGAGGGTATTGGGCATATGGTGTTGTGGGAGCATCAGGTTGTCAGCGGCCAAGCTTGCAGCCAAGACTCCCCCGAGCTGCAGCGGCCTGAAGGGTGGAAGCTACGGCTGCCTGTCCACCCCCTCCTCCGCCAAGGGGCCGTGGCAGGAGCGGGTCCCGCAGGCTGTCCGAGCCGCCCCCATAGCTGTCCTCACACCCTCCTGCCCCCACCCCCGGCAGGCTCCTGCACTACTTCCGTGGCCGCCACCACCTGGAGGAGATCATGTACAACGAGAACACGCGGCGCTCGCAGCTGCTGGCGCTCGTGGACAAGTTCCGCAGCGTGCTGGTGGTGACCACCCACGAGGACCCGGTCATCGCCGTCTTCCAGGCCCTGCTCACGTGAGCTGGGCGGGGGCACTGCCTCTCAGCCCTGGCTCTCTCCCCCTTGCTCTCCTCATCTTTGTCTTCAGGACAGCCTCAGATGCCCTGGGCTGGGAAGGTGAAGCTCGAGGTAGGGGTGTGACCAGCACGCGGGCTTCTTGAGGGCTGCATGCCTGCCACGCGGTTCTGCCTGTGTCCCTCGCCACCCTGTCTGCCTGCGGGCACCCTCCCCAGCCCCACCCTCCCCACTGTCCTGTGTTGGCCTCCTGGAGGCTGTGGCCTAGCAGTCCCCTCTGTGGCCATCTGAGGCACCAGGACCTGGCTCAGGACGTCCTGTGGGGAGTTGCTCTCTCTGCTTCCCATGGGAGTGCGTCTGCCAGGTTGGCCTGCCAGGTTGGCCTCAGGCCTGAGAGAAGGTGGGCACAGTGGCCCTGGGTCCTCCCGGAGCAGAACTGGCTGCCAGGGGGGCTCTGGCCATGGTGCAAGGGACACTTTTCTAGAAACAGCGTTTATTTCGTTTGTAAACAATTAAAGTCCTTGTGGGAGCAGGCCGTGGCTCCAGCCTGTGTGTCCCGCTCTGCTACCCTGTCCACCACGCTGACCCAGGGGCTGCCCCGCACATAGAAGCGCAGGGGCTTCTGGGCCCACTCGCCAGCCTGCCCTATGCCCACACGGGCTGCCGCCACCACGGCCGGCTCACTGGGTGTGGGGGGGCCCTGCTCCAGCCACACAGACTCGTCCCTGGCCAGGTCACGTTGGTCGAAGCTCCTGTCGATGGCCAGGGCCTGGCACAGCTTGGAGGGGCCGTTGCAGAGCTCACGGTCTTTGAGGGCTCGTCCACCAGTGCCTTTGCGGAGGGCGTGGCGAAGCTGCCGCATGGCCTCCAGGCCCCCCAGGGGCTCCAGCGCTCGGAGCAGGACACATGCCCCATCCCCTGTGGGAGATAAAGCTTCCAGGCTGTGGTCCTCCTACCCAAGGCCCGACCAGAGCAGCTGGGGACACCTGTGCTCTCTCTCTGCCCAGACCCTCTGCCTGCCACCCGTTCTGCTCACTTGTGCCTCCTACAGGCACCTCTGGCCGCCTGCCCACCAGCTGGGGAGAGAGCTTCCTGGCTTCCTCTGGTTTGTGTGACTGGCACTAACTGTAATGTCAGTAGGCAATGGAAGCCTCAGAGATGGCCCCCCACAGGCATGGTCCCCCCGACCAGGCCCTGGGGCCCCAACCATCTGCCCATGGGAGCAGCCCCCAGTGCACACGGGGTGCAGGTGAGCCCTACCCCATGACCCAGTGGGGAGAGGTGCCAATAGCCCCCCACCTCGGCCCCCTTCCCCCCCAGGCCACTGAGGGATGGCCGACACCCAGGGCCTGGGATTCCCCAGAGAAGACACCCCGTCCAGAGCCCTTGATCCCCAGCTGAGCACAGGGGTCCCTCTCTGGGCCCAGGATCTGCCCCGCCTGCTGGGATCTGAGGGGCTCAGCCCGACGCGTGGCCAGGCCAGTCCCTCCCGGGCCTGAGCCACAAAGGGCTTCCCATCAGCACCCAGGAGCTGGCCTCCTGCACAGCCTGCAAGTCTTAACCAGCCACTTTTCAGAGCACTTCAGGACGGCCCGAGGGTGCCTAAGCCTGGGCTCTAGTCCCTTTGTGATTCCTGGGCCCTCCCTCATCAGCTGCACAGCTCCCTGTGGTTCCACCAAGCGCGCTGGGTGCCACCTGCACACAGGTCAGGGGAGCAGCTCATCCCTCCTCTCTGAGGATGCGTGTGAGTGCAGCCCCAGCTCTTCCCACCAGGCCTCCCCATCCTCCCCCCCAGCCCCGCCCCTCACCTGCACCAGCTGCCCAGTCTCCGCCAGGCCCCGAGTCCCCGCAGGCACAGACCGGCCCAGCTGCCTCTGCCTCCCTCCTGGATGACGCCTGGCCCTGGCTGTCTGCACCCTGCAGTTTTCTGCTCCACTACCTCCCTTCATCTGTCCGGTCTAACTGTACCCTGGAAAACACCTTCCCTTCTCACCAACTGCAGCCTCTTGTCCAAGTGCAGTGTCCCTTCACATGAGGGGTTGGTTCTAATGCCAAAGAAAAGTTTGGTGACTGGAAGGTTCTCCAGGAGATAACAGGCACCCCGGGCGGTCCCTATCACTCAGCTTCACACACCACCTGCCCTCTGTGGGGCCAGGTGCAGGGCCAGTCAGGGCTCCTCGCATCCTCCAGCCCGTGGCTTGCACTCAGCATCTGCAGCCGTCCACTCTGGGTGATCACAACTTGTACGTCACTGGAGTTCTCCAGTGTGACCGGCAGCCCTGACATCCCCAAGTCTTCATCTTGGGATGGAGGCTCAGCAGACAGATGCTGGGACTGGCTGGCCAGAGTAAGCTGGGGAGACCCACTGCCAAGAGCTTCCTTCCCAGCACAGACCCCCAAGAAAACAGAGGTGCCTTCCCATGAAGGACCTGGTGGGTCCCTCAACGAGGGGGAGCTCTAGATCAGCCTCTCTCTGTTTGGCACCGCTGACCCCGGGGCCATGATTCTCTATGGAGGCGGCCGTCCTGCGCGTTGTGAACGGTGCGCACCCTCTCTGACCCCTGCGCACAGGAAGCACAGCACCCAGGGCTCTGACGGCCAAGAACACCAGACGTTGCATCACGTTCCCCACGGTGGCAGGGTCATCCCTGCTGAGGCCCCGTGACTGCCCACTGGCAAGGCTCCTGCCCGAGCCCAGTGCACCCCAAATCGATCACACCATTGTTTCCCCACAGTCGGCCCCTCCGAGTCCTCCCTGGGCCAGCCACGACACCAGCGGCCACCCGGGGGCTCCTGCACCCGCCTGCTCTGGCTTCAGGGCAACCTCTGTCCCACGGGCCCCCGGTGCCTCTGAGCCACTGGCAGTGCAGCCAGAGCTGACGCCGCAGCCTCGCTCCCAAGGTGCCCCCCCCGCTGACACCTGCCCCCCCCCCCCCCCCCGGTCCTCCTCACCTCGGCTGGAGACATTCATGCAGAAGTACATGCCGTAGATGAGATACACGTAGAGGGTTCCGGGCTTCATGAACATGCCACGGTTGCGGGGGGTCTGCCGGCCGCCCCTTGAATGGGCAGCTTCATCCTCTGGCCCCAAGTACGCCTCAGTCTCCACAATGCGGCCGCGGAGTTCTGTGCCGTCATCCAGCCGTCGGACTAAGATCTGCTTGGGAGGAAGAAGGGTGCTCGTTCCCTGCTGACGGCCCACAGCCTGGACGCCCCTCCCCAGCTGGGGACGTCCCAGGTTGGCCCACAGCGCCCCCTATCCCGCTTGGCCGCGGGCCACAGGCCCTGCTCAGCGAGTGTCCTGTCCACAGGGCGTGGCCAGCCTGGGCCAGCCAGGGTCGGGGTGCGCTCAGCACCAGCTAGTCCTCGCGCCTCCTCTCACAGGGGCCTGCCCTCCCCGCCCAATGCCCCTGGACTTGACGCTTGGCCTGGGGCTGAGCGGTGTGATGGGCACAGGGCCCTGCCCGGGATTCCAGGCCTGTGGAGCTCTCCACCCAGCCCAACTGCAAAGGGCTGTCGTGCTCAGCGCCTACCCAGTCAGCTCTGAGAGCAGCAGGACAAGCTGCCCCACGGTGCCCCCAGCCCGGCCCCCAGCCCCAGAGTCAGCACAGGTAGCGGGCCGGGGAGGCGGGCCTGATGGTGGCTGCCTTGGACAGCACCCTGGGGCGGGGACTGAGGCTGGCTGAGGACAGGGCGGGGGTGGCTGTCAGGGGCTGTCCCCTGGGGCCAGCAGAGCACCAAGTAAAGCAGGCCTCAGGGGAGCCAGGGCCCTGAGGAGCGCTGGGCACGCCAGAGCTGGGCCCGCCCCGCCTGGAGCCCCCGTGCCTGATGGCTGCACCACGCGGCACTGCGGCATGGCCCTGGGAATGGCTGGCTGCTGCCGTGTCTGCAGCCCCAGGTCTAACTCAACCAGGGTTCATGGTGGAGTCTCAGGGACGGCCACCTCCCCAGGACGTCCCCAGCACCTGCCTTGTCCTTAGGCCAGAGCAATCGATCGGATGGCCAGGCCACTGCCCCTTAACCCACGGAGCCCACTGTGTCTGGCCAGGGTCAGGAAACAGCCTGACAGTTTCCGTGCCACAGTGGGGTGGGCGGAGCCTCCTGCAGCCCTGTGCTCACAGTCTGTTCCTGCCCTGAATTGCAGGACCATCTCTCAGACAGCAGGCGTCGGCTGCCCCTCAGCCCCATCACAAACATCTGCTTGCTGGTGGGGGTCCCGAGAGGACCCTTCTCAGCCCACGAGGTGACAGAGTGGTCTGGGCTGTTCTGGCAGCCTGTAGCTCCTTGTACTGACCTGCCTGAGGATGAGTGCACAACCCAAGCCTAGGATGGGCTCTAGGAAGGACATCCACTGGGAGGGTATGAGAAAGGTTCTCCTCCCGAAGGAAAGGGGCATACGGGATAAGACCCTCCCTTCTCTGCTGGACTCTGCCCTGTCCGCCCTCAGGCTCAAATGGGCATGACGGGAGCCCAGGGGCAGCCTGTGAGGGCCTGGGGTCCTCAACGGGACGCTGGACTCACCTGCCCCTGTGTCACTTCATGTGAGATCATAACCTCTCCTAACTCCATGTGCTTTCAGGACCCCTTGGCCCCTGCAGCTCAGAGCGTCCTCAGGGGAACAGACTGCTCCCTTCTTGACAAATGCACACTTGAGGTCACGCTCCACTAGCTTACATTTTAGGATCTGTTCTTGGCATCAGTTTTCAAATAGCCAAAGAAACTGACTCTCCTTGGCTATTTTAACCTAAGGGTAGGCTCACTAAAGGACACGATGTAGCCACAGAGCCTCCAGGATGACCAGAAAGCCAGGGCTCGGGTTTGGCACCAGGACTGTAGCCCGATGGTGCTCCAGATAGATGTGGTACATGCTGCGTGCACACTGCCTGGAGCCGGCTTCCCCGTGGGCCCTGGGCATCTGGCGCCCACCCCAAGGGCCGGGGCTGCAGGGGCTGCCAGGAAGCCAGCCAGTGGTAAGGAAGAGGCTGTCGTCAGACCGTCCCGATGCA